TGGGGGGGGGGTTGGAGGGGAGGGGGGACGAGAGAGGTGAGAAAAGGGAGGAGGTGGAGGTCGTACATCAAATCAAAACATTTGCTGAGGAATTAGAAAGGTTCCAGTGATCCCTCGAGAAGACAGAAGGGTCGAGGAACGAAGCGAAACAACATTCCATGATAGTCATTGACAGTCTTACAAGCTGTGAAGGAAGGGAAAAGAAGATTCTAGGCGTATGCCTTGGCTCACGTTGATCTGATGAACGTGTCTTCGTCATAATAGCAAACCAGAGGGATAGCGAAAGGACATCGAAGTCTTGGAATGACGACCGTCATCTGGACATTGTTTCTCTTCGGTAGGCGTGGGAATGGAGAGAAGAGGGAGAAGGGGGGAGAGGAGGAGACGGGAGAAGGGGGGCAAGAAACGGAAAGAGATGCACGAGGGGGGGGGGAGAGGAGAGTTGGAGGAAGAGGAAGAGGAAAAGGAGGAGAAGGAAAAGGTGATTACCCATCTCAGCCTGCATTGCCCAATCATCCTCGACTCTTCAAGGAACCAGCCATTCCAAATCCTTCAGCGATGCCCTTCAGAGGTTGAACGTTTACTTCCGTCGTACTGCTTGCCTTCGTTTGCTCCTTCTTTCTCTCTTATTTACTTCTCTGTTCCTCCTCCCTCTCCTCCTCCCCCCCCCCCCCTTACCTGCGCCTCTTCGTTTCATCACTCCCTTGAAGCCTCACTGTATCTGCTCTAGCTCATGTTCTACCCTGCGCCAGGCATGTTCTCCCAGCTCATGCTTCCTCACTCCTGTTGTCACAGGATGCGCGACAAGGAGGTACATGATCAGTTCAAGACGTTCGAGCAAGCAAAGGTTACTCTCTCCTGCTGCCTCCGCTGCTGCTGCCGCTGCTGCTCCTGCTCCTGCTGCTGCTGCTGCTGCTGCTCCTGCTCCTGCTCCTGCTCCTGCTCCTTCTCCTGCTCCTGCTCCTTCTCCTTCTCCTGCTCCTGCTCTCTTCTTGCTCCTGCTTGTCCTTCAATGTTTCATCCTCTCTTGCTTCTTTACTCTTGTTTTCTCCCGGCCACATCCTTCTCTTTTCAACCGTGTACTCCTGTTCTCTCCTGACTTCTCCTGCATCGCTCAAGGACATCAAAACTGTTTCAAGGTGTCGATCTTCTGAGCAGAGGAAATTTCGAACATGTGCGATGACAGCTACTCGCTCCTTTCGCCTCTCGCCTTATCGTCCTGATGTCTTTACCCTTGCCGTCCTACTTGACTTCCTGCCGCTCCTTGTCTCATCTCCACCTCTTCCCTTCCCCTCCTCCTCTCCACCGCTGCTTCTCTTTCGCTCGACTGATCCCTTCCAGTGCTGCAAGAGTGCTATCCTCTCCTTTCAGCGTTCCTGGAGGGAGTGGGAACGGAGGACAAACCCTTCTTCCTCCTCAAGACCACAAGCAAGCTCTCCCTCCTCGTCGTCGATGGGAGTCCCTTGTTCTTCGAGTTCGACGAGCATTGCTTCCTCCCCACTCTTCGCCTCTTGCACAGGTGCAGGCCCGCGCTCTCACCCTCCCTCCTCCTCTCTTCCCTTCCTTCCCTCCTCTCCTCCTCTCCTCCTCTCCTCCTCATATTCTATCACCCCTTCTCTCCCTAGTTGTTCTCCTACATCCGTCGTTATCCCTGCCAGATTTACCTTCTACTTCTCCTGCTGCTCCTGCTGCTCCTGTCTCGGCATCTCCCCACGTTCCCTCCTACTTTTGCGCTGCTGTTCTTTCCAACAGTTGGCTGAACCTGCCACAGGCTCCCGCAGGATGTCAAACTTTTACAGGAGGCCTGGGTGGACGAGGGGGCTGTGCGTCATATCCTCAACGGGGCGACGATCATGGCGCCGGGAGTAAGGAAGGTGAAGCAAGAGGAGGAGAGCAAGGAGGGCAGAGGAGAGGGGAGAGGAGCAGGGAGGGGAGAAGGGAGGAGAGGGGAGGGAAGGGGGGAGGAGAGGACAGGTCAGAGCAGAGCAGTGGAGGAGAGATAGAGTAGAGGTGAGGAGAGAGGAGGTGAGGGAATTTCGGAGGGTTGGGAGGAAGGAGCTGAAGTTCTCGATCAGATGGACGAGATGTCATCCTGCTCCCTCGTGGTTGTGCGAGTCGAGGAAAAGAAATTCGCGATCGCTCTCGGTGAGCTCGAGGATGTGGAGGAGGGAAGGGGGGGGGGGGGAGATGAAGAGAAGGGGAAGGCGGGGAGGAGAGAGGAGGAAGATGGGGAAAAGGAGTGAGGGAGGCAGGGGAGGGGGGGAGGAGGGATAAGGACGAGGAGGTCTCATCATCTGGCAGGATATACTCTGCAAAGCTCGGAGGAGGTTCTAACTAACAGAAAGGGACCCGCGATCAATGTAAGATAACGAGATGCTCAGAGGTTGCAGAAGAACAGCAGCAGCAGCAGCAGCAGAAGCAGAAGCAGCAGCAGCAGCAGCAGCAGCAGCAGCAGCAGCAGGGCAACAGGAGCAGGAGCAGGAGTAGGAGCAGGGGCAGGAGCAGGAGCAGGAGCAGGAGCAGCAGCAGCAGCAGCAGCAGCAGCAGCAGCAGCAGCAGCAGCAGCAGCAGCAGCAGCAGCAGCAGCAGCAGCAGCAGCAGCAGCAGCAGCAGCAGCAGCAGCAGCAGCAGCAGCAGCAGCAGCAGCAGCAGCAGCAGCAGCAGCAGCAGCAGCAGCAGCAGCAGCAGCAGCAGCAGCAGCAGCAGCAGCAGCAGCAGCAGCAGCAGCAGCAGCAGCAGGGGCAGCAGCAGCAGCAGCAGCAGCAGCAGCAGCAGCAGCAGGGGCAGGAGTAGGAAGGGGGGGAAGAGGAGGATCATTTTTGTTCTCTGAAGCTCGGGCAGGTCCTTCATCGTCTCAATGATGGGCTGTGGAAACTTGAGCACGTGAGGACATAACGAAGACGAGGAGAAGACATGGAGAAGAAGATATGGAGGAGGAGATATGGAGAAGAAGATATGAAGAAGATATGAAGGAGATATGAAGGAGGAGATATGGAGGGAGGACATATGAAGGAAGAGATATGGGAGGAGGAGATATGAAGGAGGAGATATGGGAGGAGGTGGGAAGGCAATGAGGAGGAAGGAGGAGGGTTCAAGAGGAAGTGTTCGGCTTGACCAGAACGGGAACGGAGAGAGGAGCGGGATTCTTGTACGAAGATTCGCAGATGGAGAGGAGGGGGAGAGGTCGAGGGAGGAAGAGTGAGATCGAAGGAGAACAAGAGATCAGAGGCAGCCGAGGGAGGAGGGAGAGGGAGAGGAGGGAGAGAGCAGGAGGAGGCAGAGTGATTCTTTTCCATCTTCAAGTGTTCATTCGCTTATGCGCAATTACGTATCCTCAACATGTTGGCTCAAAAAATAAACTCCTCCTCTTTTCACTCCTCCTCCTCCTCGTCCTCGTCGTCCTCGTCGTCCTCCTCCTCAGGTGCAGAAGTCCCACCATGCGCCGTCAGCATTCTGCTGTCCGCATCCTGTTTCCCTGACCTGCAATCCTCGTCAATGATCCTCTCCCCTCCTCCCCCTCAGCTCGTGCTGCGCCTGTTCCTTCACTTCCCTCTCGTCCTCGTCCTCGTCCTTTCCTCCCCCTCTCTTCTCCTTCCTCCCTCCCTTCCTCCCTCCTCACCTTGCACCAGGGTTGCCCTTGTGATCTCTCTTCGGTACATCCCGTCACGAGGTGTCCCTGCAATCCGACTGAGTCGCTTCTCCTCTTCTCCCTCCTCCTCTCCTTCACTCCCACATGCTCCGCCCTTCCCCCCTCCCCTCCCCTCCTCCTCCTGCCCTGTTGCCTTTTTCCCCTCCCCTCCTCCTCCTGCCCTGTTGCCATTTCCCTCCTTCTTTCCTCCTTGCACCTCCTCGCTCCCCCATTCCTCCTCTTCCTCTTCCTCAACATTCCACTCTCTTTCCCTCCCTCCTCCCTCCCACTTCCCCTCCCTCCCCCTCCCTTCCTCCCTCCTTCACTCCCTCGCTTGTCTCCTCACCTTGGTCATGAACGAGTTGCGGCAGGAGCATCCTTTCTCTGTGATAGGAGCACATGTGTCGAAGAATTGTCCATCCCCCAGCGACGACCCGCACGTTCCTTCAACCACACACCACTTCTTTCCCATCGCCTGCCCTTCACGTCACTCCTCTTTTCCTGCTGCATCTGCTGCTGCTGCTGCATCTGCATCTGCTGCTGCTGCTGCTGCTGCTGCTGCTGCTGCTGCTGCTGCTGCTGCTGCTGCTGCTGCTGCTGCTGCTGCTGCTGCTGCTTCCGCTCCTGCATACTGCTGCAACTGCAACTGCAACTGCTATTGCCTGCCGCCCCGCCCGCCCGCCCGCTGCTCCCTCCTTCTTACTCTTCTTTCCTGTCCCCTTCCCCTCGTATGAGACTGT